AAAATGCGACGAATAAAGACATGGTGCTTAATGGAAAACTAGTTTCCAATTATCATTTTTGTATGTCCAAGGAACATAAGTTCAAAGAACTATTTGACTCAATAAATTGATGATACCTCAAACTTGCTGCCATAGGAGAAGATGATAGATAACCTTTGTATATTGCCTTATCAGTTTAGGAATGTGATATGTAATATATAACATAGCTTGCTTGCGATATGTAGTGTTAAAGCACAAACATAAAAATAAGTATTTCTCTCTCCTTCTATAGAACGTTAACTCATAGTATTATGTTATCTACCCTAAGAAACGCCAAAGTCTGGACGCCAGGGTTTATATAACGGTTCTTTCGTAATTCCAGGTATTCTCGCCACTGCTCAAACTTGAAGGAATCATCTCGAGTGGATATTATGGAAGCATATCGAAATAATCGAAATGTTGAACGACGTTCGACAAACTCGTATTTTCAGCCAACCTGGCTTATTTTCCCATAAATTAAGTTTGGGTTTTTGCACCCATACCATTTTGAGGAAATATCTTATAATAATAAAGATAATCTTACCAACAAGGTAGATTGTGATTCTTGAAGATAAAATAAAGGAATCGTTCACCATGAAATGTAACTGCTTGTTACGGATGAGACATCAGAGGAAGCCCAGCGTGACATAAAGACGTGCGAACGTAACCTCAACTTTGTTGTTTTTTTAATAGCAGTATCTCAGATTTCCTCCAGTAGTTCTAACGTATAAAATATATATAAAAAAAAAATGCTTAGTTGCTCACGGACAAGGATGTGAATAACTTTTTTTGGGTAGACCTTCTTTATTTTAAGCACAATGTTGAGTAAATTGCGTATTGAACGTGTATTTTATTGGTTTGCGTTTTATAATTTAAGGTACAACAATGAATAGAAATTTCTGTAAGCTTATGACGATGTTTTTTTGGTTACATTTGTTACAACAAAGACATTGGTTTTACTAAAGAAGCCGAAAAGACTGTCAATCCGCAAGCACTGCCCCGAACCCATTATTAAGTCGTGAACTATTGGAATGTTCTGTTGAAACGTTACTTTTTGCTACTGTTTTCTGTGATGTGACTTTTGAAACGCAGACGAACTAAGGTAATATTTTCAAGTCATGCGGCTTATTATAAACATCCTGAAAATGTTTTTTCCGCACATATTCTGTTTTACGAAAAGAGAATGTATGGTATTATAAAAGTTTCAAAACACGGAAAAAATATAGGACCCTCAGGGGGTTACATGAGGGCTAGATTCAAACGGCAACCACCCTATGTCACTCACGGGGGGGGGGGGCTTAGGGTATATGCCAGGTTTGAAGACATATCAGTCCAATGGTTTGCCAATTATAAGTGGACATAACGCACTATGAAGACGAAGGCTCACGGGGTAGTTCCGAACGGAGCACTAAGGATACATACTAGATTTAGTGCCAATCGGTCCAGTTTTTCATCAGTTATAAGCGAGAATATACACAAACATTTGTCATATAATGGCTTAGATTGTATCTCGTTATGGGTAACAAAATTCACATCATGACCAACTGAAACATGCAGCATTGCTCAAGTTGCAGCCATCAACTGGTCATGGTATGGACCATATGTACACATTGTAATTAGTTTGGAGTTTTCGTTACATGAAGTTACATGAATATTCTTCACAAACTTATAGATTGCGTTAACTGTTATCTTCAATGTTGCGTGTAATTTTACAGAGTATGCTATATACAGAAATATACTTACGATTCACCTAGTTAACTATTTTTAGTTTTAAGCGTAGTTACATAGTGATTCCGCATGCAGTTACGTATTTACGTTACTTGTGGTTATATCTAGTTATATACTGACGTTGAATGTTACATACAGTTAAATAATCATGTTAACGTACAGTTACGTACATACTTATGTTACATGTAGCTGCATAAGTATTTTACATGTAGTGTCATGCTGTCTTGCATTAATTTATAAACGACACATATATTACATACAGTTCCGAATCTATCGTCTTTCAACCCTAGACAAGATATTTGAAGAATAAACCTTGACTTTATAACAAGTAGACTGTGTAGTTGTTTTTGCCACACTAATCAGCAACATCAATAAATATTCTATTGAAAAGTTTTTTGGTCGGATGTAGCCTAGTGGTAAAAATGCTCTTATGTATTCATTGGAGGGTGCATGGCTCGCGACCCGTCGTGGGTGTTTTATAAAAGTCAATGTCAAATCCTACCATTCACTCAGACAAGAGTACCCTAAGAGTTGACAGTAGGTTCTGTTGATTAACTGCCTTCTCTGTAGACTATAAGTCCAAGGCTGAGAACGGCTACGCGCAGATGGCCTTTTGTGTAGCTGTGCGCAAAAATTCTGAAGGAAACAAACGAAACATTTCTATGTTCAAAATACCTTCTGAATATGGTGGACTAGACCTGTTGTACCCCAGATTATTCCTGAAGGTCACGTTAAGTTTAAGGAGCTTCTGTGAAACGAATAAAGCTCCAACAAACTAAAACAAAACTACAGGTGTATCTAGAAACAAGTATACAAAAGCTTAATCTGAAAATGTCAATTAAAACTTTTGTAGGTTATATTTAGATTCAAATTGAATTGAGGATCCATGATTTCTGAAAAACACAATTTTAGTAATCCGCATTTCAAGTCTTCAGATTCATTTTAAAATACCAGCCGCAGTTATCTTTCCTCCTACAAAAACATTTATCTCTCTTTCTCTCTCATATTTATATAAATTAATTTAAGGAATTCAAATAATCAAGAATGAAATTCAGATCACCAGGTTAGGACTAAAGTGATTGGACTAATTAATGTATAATACACATGCACTGAGGAAGTTTGAAAGTTATATTGTTGGCACTCGAACCATAAGGGTAGATTGCATAGTTCCATTATATTATTCTAATACCTATATTCTGATTATGTAGATTATATAATGACGAATAAGAGTTAAGACCTTTAAAGTATTTTTCGCATTTCTTAACTTCATATTTGGTATTCTGGAGTTACAACCATACCATAACCATCCGTGGATTGCGAAGAGTAAACCAGATTGGAAGATTAATTTATAACCCATGCCTTTTACAATTTTGTTACTGTTCTTAACTATCTTGCGGCCCGGCATGGTCAGGTGGATAAGGCGCTCGACTCGCAATCTGAGGGTCGTGGGTTCGAATCCCCGTCCCACCAAACATGCTTGACCTTTCAGCCGTGGGGGCGTTATAATGTTACGA